CATCATCATCATCATCGAAATATAACTGGGCGCCTGGGGCCGTTAGCGGCCTTTTTCCCATTCATCTTGTATTTAATCTTTAAGGTGGTTCTTTCTGGTAATTGGAATAAAAGGAAATCAAATATTTTGTATTTTAGTTAAAATTATGTCACTACAAAAATGAGCTGCAATCGGTCTGAGGTTTATGTCTTCTCTTAAGTTTTCGAAAGTAAAAATTTCGTTGAATCCTGCGGTGTCACAATATATGGTCTTTTCAAAAAATCTGAAGTTTTGCTTTGCAATGTGATGATCTAAAAAATCTATGTTGAGGTCGCTATGTATGTTTTTATTGCGGATAAACCATCTTGGTTTTGTTATTTTCCTGAGGAGTTTGTTAAGAACTCTTCTTTACAATCACGGGATTGCTTTTATACTGGCATAGAATGTTCTGGAAGCATCCTAGGAACAACTAAAGAGGAAATGATGTAGACTGAACATTCCAGAAGCTTCTGGGATGTTCATAAATGAAATAGAAAAATTAGTGTCCGCTCCCCGTATCGAACCGAGGACCTTCTGCTTTACAAAAGCGAATTCTTCCCCTGAGCTACTGAGACTCGACAATATCATTTAATGGGATAGGGGGCAGCAGTGACAATTTAGGTATAGACCCACAAAGTAAGCTGCCAGATACAAAGTTTGTGATATAGATATTTTTATGCTTTCAAAATGTTTAATTGAAGGATTTGCTGAAAATCAAATGAAGAGAGGGACGTAAATTCCGCACTTTCTGGAGAGCATATCAGCCTCATTGACTGCAGTATTCCCTTTACGTGACACACGTGACCATAATAAGTAATATTCATCATGAAATATTTCAGATTTTAAAAACTACCGTTTCAGAAAATAAAATATATTTTATAATAATTTTAAATTTCACCAAATTTTTACAAGAGAGTTCTAACAGAAATCATGTTAAAAAAATCCGCTAGCTAATTTATTTGGCTGGATGGTACTCTGATCAAATAAAACAAATATTCCTGAATATAGTCAATTTCATTGGAAATAATCTATATAAATTGTTTCCATTACAAACAAATATTATTATATAATTCATAGAAACCATTCGACATAAAGTCGTGTTCCTTACACAAGACATGCAGGTCACCACAGATCACTAAAAATCTAAAAAGTGGTAGAAATTTTAAATATTTATTTCTCTTTTATTGTTCAATGCTAATGTAGCTTAGATTTCAAGTTGTTCATATTTAAAGGAAAATCATTCGCGGAATTCAAATTTAAAAAAGTAAACCGGAAATAAAAACTGCTTTGGTTTTTTGCAAAATTTTAATAAATTCGAAGCGAATTGAAGACTAAACCTTACAGAATTAAGATAATTGCGTCAGCCCTTTCAAAGCGTCACCCCGTGATAACAATAATAATGTTGCATTTCTCATGAGATTTTCAATAAATCAAATTACAAAAAATGAACAAATCGCTTTAATTTCGATATTACAAGGAAATATTTGTTTTACAAAGCGAAGCAAGTTGGCATCTCAGGTAATCTAAATAATATATGCCATAAAAAGGCACATTTTAATCTCTTTCATTAGAATTCTAAATTTTAATCATCCCCACTTTTTGCAATAGAAGTCACCCGTGGAAAAAATGGATGTGCATAGTTTTTTTTTAAAAAAAAAACATCAAATCTAGTAATAAATAATAATACAATTTTAAATTTATATTATGTTAATTGATTATTTAAATTCTTTTACGTTTATTAAATGTGTCTTCTAGCAATATATTTAGCTGGTGGATACTGAGAAAGAAAAGTGAAAAATTCATGAATATAGTATATTTAATTGAAATACTTCGAAAATTTTATTTCCTGTTAGTTGTTATAGTAATGAATAATAAAAAAGATAAGATTTCTTGTGAGTTCAGAAGAAAGGTTGATAAGTATTCTTCTTTTAGATCTGAAAATTTCTTCTGTTCTTGCATCACTCCTGAATAGGCTTCTCAACAATTAAAAAGTGGTTCAATTGTAAACGCAACAAAATATAATTATGTCTGTCTGAAAGTTCAGTGCGTGAAAAGTGACGTATCATTTTGAAATAGCAAAAGAAGCCTTTATTCACGCTATAATGAATTACACATTTTTTTTTAACTTTTTTCTAATGCATTAGGTTTTTGAACGTTATAATGGATATTTAATCGCAGCTGCTTTTAAATTCGATATCGGTTTCATTCTACAAGCTACATTTTTATGGAATTTAATAATTGTATTTATATGCAGAATTTTTTTAAAATTTAATTTGAAAGACTACTAAAAGTAATGATACGATTACGTTACGTTTGTTTGTAATGGAAAAAATAATCTATATAAATTTTTTCCATTGCAAACAAATATTATAAATTCATGGGAACCATTTAACACTCCAAAGTCGCGTTCCTTATCTTCTTTTCTTTTTCTTGCTTGAGCTTGTCAGATATGTGGCACATCTGCACATGTTGCATTTTGTACCATGCTCCAAGCCCAATTTTTCCTAGTTCCATTGTCTTGGGTCGCCTACTTTGTTTATATAGTCTGACAGTCCCTTAATGGAATTAAGGTGAAGCTCTTTAGGATATGGATTGCCTAAGGTAGTGAGGCGCGTGAGGGCGAGGGCATCACATTCGTATAGGATGTGATGTGCTGATTCTACCGCTTCACTGCATTTCCGACATATTGGTTCTTGTTCGAAAAGTCCCAATCTATGTAGATGTTTCCTGAAATGATAGTGCCCAGTGATGAAGCCTACAATTGTTTGAATCTTCAATCTTGGGAGCCTAAGAATTTCAGAAGCAATTTTTGCAGAAGGACTGCTGATCATGCTTTTAGCATTTTTTTGTCCAGGAGAATTGCGCCAAACTTTGTTCATCTCCCGTTTTTCCCATTTCAGGACAGCCTTCTTTGAAGTCTTCATATTGATTCCACAGAAGGGTTCCGTTCCAATTGGATTGAAAGAAGATCCCTGTTTTGCGAGTTCATCAGCTCTTTCATTACCATCAATTCCCATATGCCCTGGTACGCAAATAAGAATGATTTTATTCCTTTTTGCCAGTTCTATTAGGAGATTCTTGCATTCCAGAACAATTTTTGATTTGACTTGAAATGAGTAAAGAGCCATCAAGGCTGCTTGACTGTCGCTGAAAATGAGAATCTGCTTACCATGGTAGCCCTTCTTAATATTTATCTGCAGACACTTTACGATAGCAAGTACCTCCGCCTGAAAGACAGTAGCATATTCCCCAAGACCTTCAAAAAGGTTGAATCTTGGTGACAAGCCACAGACCCCCAGTCCTGAGAGGTTACCTTTCTTTGATCCATCGGTATACCAGATTAGATCATCATTTTTTATATCGATCGTGTTGTTATCCCATTCTTCTCTGGTAGGAAGAACTACTTCAAATTGTCTTTCAAACACGTACTTTCTCTCCATGCATTCAGAAGGCATAAGGAGAGTTGGATGGTGACTTTTCTTAGTAATACTGGTATGACCTCCAGAAGAGGGCTTGCCATACCATTGATATTGCAATTTCATTCTATATGCAGTCATTCTGGCAGCGCTGCACATGAAGATATCTAAAGGAGCCAGGTCCAGAATTGCCTCAAGTGCTCTGGTAGGGGCTGTGGACATTGCGCTTGTGATACACAAGCAGGCCAGTCTTTGCAGACTTCCCAGCTTGTCCTTCACAGTTTTCTGTTCCACTTTACACCTCCATATCACTGAAGCATATGTGAAAGCAGGCCTGACAATTGCTGTGTACATCCAAAACATCATTTTTGGTTGTAATCCCCAGTTTTTACCAAGCATGCGCCTGCACATCATTATGCATTTTTTTGGTAGATTGAGTTTGTAATCAACATGTTTATTCCAGGTGAGTTTTTGGTCAAGGATTAAGCCTAAAAATTTCACCTCAGAGGCAATATTGATTTCAACGTTAAAAAGTTTTGGGGAAAAAAAAGCCTTCCCTTTTTAATTTACAAGTGAATGGTACTAGATTGGTCTTCTGTGGATTTATGTCCAGATTCCTCTCCTTGCACCATTTGCTTACATAACTTAGAGCGTTTTGCATAAGTTGGCAAGTTATGTGAAAATCTTTGCCAAGGATGAGTATGACAATGCCATCCGCATATCCCTGGGTATAGTAGCCTATATTATTTAGATGTTTTATTAGGCTATTTACAACCAGATTCCAAAGTAATGGTGATAGTACACCTCCTTGTGGACAGCCTCTGGTTGTTTTCTTTTCTAATGTCTCGTTGAAGATATTCATTTGAATGGCTCTATCCATAAGTAGGGACTTAATCCATAAACATAAAGTTTGGTCTATCCCTGTTTCCCTTAACCCCTTGGGGACGGGTGATTCAGAAAAGCATTTGTACAAAATCAGAATCAAGTTGCAATTAAATAAAAAGCGGTAACTTAAATGTAGTCGTTGCTAATTTGACAGACTTACTTTGCTTTTTCTTTAATTATTGTTAGTTTAATCATATATATAATCAATGTTAGTTCAAAGTATAACTAAATAGTTTTATTTTGAACAAAGTAATGGTGAATTAAATAAATCAAACAATTATAACTCCGCCCACAAATAAACTGCTAAAGAATTACTTTGATTACCAGTTTCATCTTTTTATCCTGATTGATACAGTTTCATGCTGTTACGTATTTGTGACAGTCGGCGCGAAAGGGTTAAGGCATTAAGGATGGATAAGTTAGAGGTATTATCAAAAGCACCCTGAATATCTAGGAAGGTGGCAAATGCAATTTCCTTTCTCTCCAGGGTGTCTTCAATCTTAGATACTAGCTTGTGTAAGGCTGTCTCTGTGGATTTACCAGGTTGGTAGGTAAACTGTAGATTATGCAAGGGGTTATTGCTACCCAGGTAATCCCTAATATGCCTATCGATAATTCTCTCCATAATTTTGAGAAAGAATGAAGATAAGCTGATTGGTCTGAAAGACTTAGCCTGGTCATAGTTACTTTTGCCAGGTTTAGGAATGTAAACAATCCTGGTCTTCTGCCATAGCTTTGGAATATGTCCCAGTGCCAGACTCGCTCTGTAAATTCTGGGTAACACAGGGATGATAGGATCTCCTGCCTTTTGGATCATTATAGGAGTGATTCCATCAGGTCCAGGGCTTTTAAGTGGTTTGAAGGTGGAGATAGCCCACCTGACATTGTTTTGATTGATAATGTTCTTAGCATAGGTCCATTAATTTCTTTGTATTCTTTTTACAGATCCAATGAAATGCTGTCCTTCATTGCTATCCATATCAATGGCTCCTGGAAAGTGAGTTTTGGCCATAACTTCCATTATCTCTTTTCCAGTGGTAGCAAAGTTTCCATCCTCATCCTTTAAGGTGCCAACCATTATGGGTTCATCCCTTCTAAGGATTCTTTGGAGTCTAGCTCCTTCAGAGATAGAATTTACCTCTTCACAGAACTTTCTCCAGGATTCTTGTTTGCTTTTCCTAAAATTTTTGTTATAGTAGGTGAGGGCTCTTTTATAGTTGTCCCACTCACCATGTTTCTTTGCTTTATTAAAGAGTTTTCTAACATTTGCCCTTTCAGTTTCCAAAGAGTTATTCCACCAAAGACATTGGGGCTCTGCTCTTTTGGTACGTATTGGGCAATTTTTATTGTATGAACCTAGAATTTCGTTCTGCAGAGTTTCTGCTGCAATTTCTAGATCATAATTTTCTCTAACATAATTTTCCCCCAGTTCAGTCAGCCCTACGATATCGTCTTGGAATTTCTTCCAATATGTTCTTATGGGGTCTATGAAGCAGCGGCCAGTATTTATATTGGAGTTTATTTCAAAATGGATGTTTTGATGGTCGGAATCTGATGGTCTCCCATCTACTTTCCATTTCGTGATATTTTTACTAATAGCCGGTGTTGCTATAGTAATGTCAATTACTTCAGAACGATTAGAAGTTATGAAAGTAGGGTCATTGCCTTTATTCAAAATATCTAAATTGCAATTAAGAATAAATTCTAAAAGACACTCACCTCTTTTATTTGTGTCTGTGCTGCCCCAGACAGTACGGTGAGCATTGCAGTCCAGCCCTAAGACTACCTGCTAGCTATTTTCTGCACAAAACTGCAGGAGTTTGTGCAGTGTTTGATCAGGTGGAGCCTTCTCTTCATAGGGTAGGTAGACCGGGCAAAAAACAATTTATCGGTCTCTTCCCTCTATGTTGAGTCTGACTTTCACTGCTGTTAAATCACTATGAATAAAATCTATTAGAGGAAGAACCTTAATATCTTTATCTATTAGGATCCATGTTCTAGCTTCACTAATAAGATTATAAATGAGCTTAGCTTTTGTTCCTTATACAACATATACATTGACACCACAGGCGACTAAAATACAAAGAGTGGTAAAAAATTTATTTATTCATTATCTTTTTAATTATTCAATAAGACTATGATTTGCATATCAACTTGCTCATACTTAAAGGGAAAACAAACTTGGAAACCAGATCCAATAGTAAGCTGGAAATAACATTTGCTATGCTTTCTGCCAAATTCTAATAAATTGGTAGCAATTTAAAGAGTTAAACATGTTGAATTAGAATAATTACGCTCACTCTTCAATAGTGTCACCACGTGGTAACAATAATAATGTTGTACTTCCTATATTTTAAATATTTTTTTAAATTACAAAAAGTGAAAAAAAAGACTAACCTAAAAATAACTATTTCATTATGACAAAGCGAAGAAATTTGGCACTTCTAATAATCTAAGAGGTCTGGTATTTCTAATAATCTAAAAAATATATGATGTGAAAATGTATAAATTTTAATATCTTTTATTAAAAATCTAAATTTTAATTGTCACTTTTTTTTGCAATTTTATTCACCCATGGCAAACCTGGATATGTATACTTTTAAATAATAAAAAAATCAAATCTAGTAATAAATAATGATTTATTACAGGTGTATAATTAGCATTTATTGCGTAAAGTGCTTAGTTTTAACTATATCTTGTTTTGTTTGTATCTCGTTGTCGTTGCAAAATATTAAAAACTTTGAATAGCAAATGAACTAATGATCGGAATTAGGCCTAAGAACAGATTTTAACGATTCAAGGTCCGAAGCTTAAATATTCCTTTGTTAATTGGTTTAATTATTTACACTAGTTAATTAGTGCAGCAGACAGTATTTTAATAAAAAAAATCACTGATATAACCGATCATTTTTGTAATACATTTTTTCAACAAATTCGAATTCTGTTGAAATGGTTCCAATAGTTCGGACAGGCGAGCTATCAGATGTTCTTTCTTAATTTTGATTATACTTTTTGCCCCTTTCGCAATATCTCGAGGAGTTTTCAAGATCATCGAAACATTTTGTACACAGTTAAAAAATTCTTTTATCCAAGTATCTATGCCAAAAATAGCTTTAAATAATTGATTATCATTATTTTTGTGAATACGTTTTAAAAATATTTGAATTTTAAGACATAAATTAATAAATCGTTTTAAGGAATGTAATTTTTAAAAATATAAAATAAATTTTCAGCTTCCTTTTACTTTTGATATGTAGAAAAATAAATAATATTCACTGAGGTTGTTCAAAATTTTGAAACTACCGTTTCAGAAAATAGAATATATTTAATAAATTTTTAAAATTATTGTTTTCGACCTGAACAAGATCATTATGATCGATTATATAACGTATCTTCTAGCAATACATTTAGCTGGTGGATACTGAGAAAGACAAAAACTCATGAATATAGTCAATTTCATTGATATACTTCAAAAAAGTTATTTTTTCTTTAAGTTGTGATAGTAATGAATAATAAAAAGGACTCCCTGCGAGGTCAGAAGAAAGGTTTATAAGTATTCATATTTTTTGTTCTTGTAACGCTCCTGAATAGGGATCTTCTTATAGAACTGAAATTTTTTGTTTTGTTCTTGCATTGCTCTTGAATGGGCTTCTCAACAATTAAAAGTGGCTCAATTACAAACACAACAAAACGTAATTACGTCTGTTTTCATATTCGTTATCGGTTTCACTCTACAAGCTACAGTTTCTATGCAGTTTAATAATATATATCTATGCAGAATCTTTTTAATATTTAGTGACTAATTCTACCTCTCTACAACATAGAAAGTGAAGGAAGAAGGAGATGATATATTTACATTTATGTTGCAATACATTACGTTTGTTTGTAATGGAATACTGAATATAAATAATCTATAAGAATTTTTTCCATTACAATTAAATAATATTAACTCATGGGAAGCATTTATCACGCCGAAGTCGTGATCTTATACAACATGCATAGACACCCCAGGTGACTAAAATGTAAAAAGTGGAAGAAAATTTATTTATTTATTTTCCTTTTAATTATTCTATAACACAATGACTTACATATCAACTTGTTCATATTTAAAGGAAAATCATTCTCGGAATCCAGTTTCAATAGTAAATTACAAATAACAACTGCTCCGCTTTCTGTCAAATTCTAATAAATTGGTAGCGATTTGAAGAGTGAAACATGTGGAATTAGAATAATTACGCTCACTCTTTGAAAGTTTCACCACGAGATAATAATAATAATGCTGTTTTCTTATAATATTTTAAATATTTCAGATTACAAAATGTGAAGAAAAAGAACTTACCCAAAAAAAATGCTTAATTTCGATTTTACTAGATTTTTTTTTTTTTGCTTTTTTTTGCGAAGCGTAGCAAGTTGGCAATTCTAATAATCTAAAAAACATATAATATAAAATCTTTTCAAATTTAATATCTTTTTTCTAAATTTTAATCGTCATTACTTTTTGCAATTTTAATTACCCTTCGCAAACCTGGTTATGCATACTTTTTATATAAAAAAATCAAATTTAGTAATAAATAATGATTTATTACAGGCTTATAATTAGCATTTATTGCGTAAAGTGTTTAGTTTTAACTTTAACTTGATTGTATCTCATTGTGAATTTTACGCATAAACGAATACATATAACAGCACTTACAGAAATGCCAACTTGCTCCGGACAGAAAATGTATAATTTAAAGTGGTAGTACATCAATTGTGATTTTTGGTTTAAAGATTTGAATTTAGTAGATTTTTATCCACCACTATTTCTAAATGGATCGTAGACTTATATGATTCAGCACTTTATGTATGCAAAATTTACTTAGTAGTTATTTATCGTTTTTTTTTTTAAAAAATGTTTTGGCTTGTCCGGAGCAGTTAGCATCTCTGCATTTAGCAATGTAATGATATAATATAAGAAGAAATATGAGATGTATATTTATGAAATATTCTAGAATTTTATTTTTCAATACTCGAACTAAGCAATTGAAACCGTAAAAATCTGACATCAATTGACATTCTGTGTTTGTTCATTCTATTATTGCTTATCGGTAAAAGTTGTTTATCGTTTGTTTCATTTCAATTAACGACATCGATTAACGGATCGAAGTATTGTCGGTACATTCCTATTTATTATTGATGAGCCTGGAGGACCCACGTAAACACCTCAAACTTATAGAAGACACCAAAGCCATGTGGAGTAGCAACTATAATATAAATTAGATTAAAGCACACTCAGGCATTGAAGGGAATGAAGAGGCCGACTGGGCTAAGGAAGCCACTAAGCTTGGCCAGATTGATTTTGAGATCCCGGGTGAAAAATGCGAAATTAAATCTTACATTAAGAACATTACTTTTAACCGCTGGAGAAATGACTGGAGGTCTAGTGACAAGGGAAGACAAACCTATAAATTTTTTAAAGACCCAAGCATAAAGCGCCTGCAGGCCAATTTTTATTTAAACCAGCTCCTTACTGGCCACGGAGTGTTCGGGACCTATCAACAAAAATATTTCAAAAAATCAGCTTCATGCAATTACTGTGGAGTGAGACAGGACATTGATCATCTACTTAAGCACTGTCCAAGATTCCGGGCACTTCGTGGAACCCACATGAATAATTGCGAAGAGGAACATCAATTCTTCGCTATATTGACCTGCAGGAAAATTGTGACTCAAATTATTAAACAAACCCTCGAGGACATTCTAGCCCCAGATCAACTGGCCCCAGTCATGAACCAACAATAGAGCATGTCATCGTTAATTTTTACTAATCAACTTTTAGCCTTACATCTTGAATTTTTATCTACTTTTGATTTTAGACTTCATAGACTTCTAGTCAGACTTTTACTTTTAGACATTTACTATTTGGACTTTTAGCTCTCATTGATTTTGGTTTTGAGATTTTTTATCTCTTGATTCTTTATTATTATAATCATTTAACTCTCGACATTTACACCGGCGCTATTGGGTTCCATTGCCTTTAACACATGTTTTAAATTGTCAAAGTTTATTGTTAATCCACTTTTAACTGATCACCACCACTGTCATTTGGCGAAATTTTACTGTAACTTTAGTTTTTAGAGAAATTTTATTGTAATAATTTTACTTTTATCTCCGTATACCCCTCTGGGGTGGGTCGGAGTTCAACCTTCTTATTATTGATGTGATGTTGACATGTTTACTCTAAATTTTGTCTTAATTACGATCGCCTCAAATAGACGCATATCCATAGAGATAAGACTATCAAAAATAGAATTTAAATGTTTCAACGCTTTCGAAGAAAATAGACTTCAATATATATTTACCTTGATCAATGGATAAAAGTCATTACAAGAGATAAAATAAAAATGCAAACGGGTTTTGTAATTTTCGTTAAAAAATTTGAAATGCGTCAAAATGGCGCGTTCCGTGAACCTAGTGTTAAAATTGTAAACTTCAATCGTCAACTCTTTTTGCATTTTATTCACCCGTGGCAAACCTAGATATGCTTACTGTTTCTAAAAAAAAATCAAATCTTGTAATAATTAATTATTTATTACAGGCTTTTAAATAGCATTTATTCCAGAAAATGTTTAGTTTTAACTGTTTTTTTTTTAGTGGTACCTAGTACTAGTGTTTTGATTTTTTTGGGCACCTGGGCCGAGAAGCGGCCCCTATCCCATTCATCTGGAATTTTATAATAGTTTTGGTTGAGCAATGATGTGAGCAGGCAATGGAGTTGCTTTTATTTTTTAGTGGTACCATAATGTGGTGAATTATATAAGTCTACGAGTTATTCAGAAATAGTGGTGGATAAAAATCTATTTAATTTAATTTATCAAATCAAGAATTAAAATTGATAAACTACCACTTTAAAATATGTATTTGCTCTCTGGAGCAAGTTGGCATCTCTTCGTTCGTTCGTTGTAGAGGAACTGGGCATCTGAGGCCTTACGGCCCTTTTCCCATTCATCCTGAAATTAAACTAAGAAACATACATGACAAATTTGAACTTTGGGGAGCAAATGGAGCTCTTGAGAAAAGAAAAATGGCACTTTGCCATTATTAGGCAATAACAAAAATTGCAAGTAATAAAAATGTACAGTTTAAGGTTTGTGAGGATGTGTAAGTATATGGATTAGCTTTCCCCTGATCATACCCTGAGGGGTTTCTCTTTTACAGGAAGTTGGCAACTCATTTCATTTCATTTATTAAACTAGAATTGGGTGCCAGGGCCGCACAGCGGCCCCTAACCTATACATCATGAAATATTTACAGGTTGAATTACAAATATTTTGATTTATGCAGAATTAAGGTAACAAAACAAAGGATCAAGCATATTTGCTTGATAAATTAAACATGATTTGATATTTAGTATGAGTCATGATTTAGTAAGTTGGCAACTCTTTCTTTATTCTTTATTTAATAAAAATTGGGTACCTAGGCCGCGCAGCTGCTCCTACCCCATACATCATGAAAATTATGCAGTGAATAAAACATTTTGTTTTTGTGACATTGTGGTAACACTAAGTTGGCAACTCTGGATGCTGGATATTGGGGTTATCTCGGCGTTTGGCGCGAAGCGCCATTAACCGATTCATCGATTCTGTTTTGTTGTATTCTGGGAGGTCCTATATATCTTTGAAGTTGTAGCATGTTGTAACAACAAGTCAAGTCCTTAAGGAGTAAATCTTTAGTTTTGAAGGGAAAATCATCTTTGGAATGGGGAGATCCCCTTGAGTAGAGTTGTATGATAAAGTTAATAGTATTTTGATAGTATGCAGTCTGAGCATAAAAAGGCGGTAATTGGGCTGAAATTCGAATTATCACGGATTATATCAATATCGAACAATTTATTGAAATCTGATGTGGTGCATGTTTTTGCGTCGCTGTTAAATTTTGTGGTCAATTTAGCTATAAAGCAATTGATATCATCAATGTTTAAGTCTTTTCTGAGTAATCTATTGCTAATCGCCCTTGGGGCGCCAGTCATTGTGCGTAAAAATTTACCTTCGGTTGTAGATAGCTTCTTTTTTAGGTTGTTGCTTATAGTAGTGAGGGCTGGGCAAGCATACGTAAGAATTGGTCGAATCGCTTGTATATAGATAGTTCTTTTATTTGCTAGATCAAGCTTTGAATTCTTATGCAGGAGGACTTTGAACGCAAAAAACGCTCCTCTGGCTCTTTTGATTATGTCGTTTAAGTGAGTACTCCAGCTCAAATTATATGAGATCGTGACGCCGAGGTATTTAACGTGTTTCACTGGTTTGATCTCAGTATTGAAGAGATAGATGTTGGCAACTCTGCAGCATTGGATATTAATGTATATGCTTAATATTTTTAAAAATAGTGGTGATCAAAAATATTTTTAATTAAGTTTGTAAATGTCAGGAATGTATAGAAGGCATACATTTTACTACCACTTTAAATATAGAAATCTTTTTATATAAAGCTTTGAAGTATAAAAGAAGTGATCTATCATCAAAAACAATATAAAATAAAGCACAGCAACCGCCTTTTTCCAATCTGATGGGAGTTTTGTCCCGTTAATTTTGTAAATACTTGTATATATTCTTGCGCATTTATTATCATGCATTTTTCCTTTTCTCTGAGGCTATGTGGCTACTGTGCATCTGAGTAGCTCGGGGGGAGGCAAAGGCTGTCTGCCACAAGAACCTCTTCTCTTTCTTAAATTTGTTTGTTTAATCTCGCTACATCATTTTAATTTTCACTCGGTAAATATTGCTGAACCCCAACTTTCACCATTCATTTGCGCTTCGGCGATTTATTATTTATTCCCACTCAGATGAATTAGTTAAGAGCCCCTGGTGGGGTTGATGCTAAGATAACCACCAAATATGAGTATGAGAAGTGGTCTAAAGTAGTCTATTTCTTTTAAATCTAACATAAAATATTTTGAGAAAGACAGTATATTTTTTTCTCTTCTCGTAAATACTGTTGTGAGGTTTGTTTGTCAAAGAAAATAACAAGTTTTTTTAAAACAAGAATATTAAACTTAGATTTAAAAATGAGGTTTCTTAAAGCAGTCCATTTCGTTGGAGTCCTATTGAATTGTTTATATTTATAAA